TTACCTGGTCCAACCCCTGCTCAAAGCAGGCCCAAGAGCTCTGGGCTGCGTCTGTTTGAGCCCCAACTATCTCCAGCAATGTAGGCCCCACAACCTGTGGGCAGCCCAAGGTTATATTCTTTTAAAAGAAACACCACACAACATCCAAGTACTTACCAGAAATATCTCCAGCTTCAGACATATTGTGTTCAGCACAGGGAGATGCTCCTGGTGTGGGACAGTGTGGGCCACACTCACAGACAGCAGGAAGAAAACTAGAGGCAGATGTGGCTTTTAGGTACATGCTTTAGGAAAGAACAAATCAACCTGAGAACTCACTCTGAAGGAACTCTTACCCTTTCCTGTGTTGAAACTATTACTAAAGGCCCCAGGTGTTAGGATCTAAATACACTGAGCTCATTTCCCTGAAAAATTTCTACATGGGAGAGATGCGTTTTCCAAAACATAGGCCTTAGGAAATCTGAATTTTGGCAAGACCACATCCAAAGCTGTTACAAAATAAGCAAAGAAATTATTTTTTAATTAATAATCTAAGACTCCAAATGGATTGTACCACTGCAGTGTCATCTGGCAGCACACAAGTCTCTGCAGCTACAATATTCCAACCATCTTCAGCATTTTCTACTCTGAAAACTACAATCATTTCAGTCAGACTTTAATTTTAGCAGATAGAAATGCACCTTCAGTGGTTCATGTTAAGGACAATAGTATGGCCAGGGGGAGAGGAAAAAAGCCTGTCTGCTACAGGAGATCACAGATACACATCCACAGGAAGCAATTGAAATGTAGCCTTCAAAGAGCAGACTGAACTGTGTGCCCTGCTCCAGAAAGGCTTAGAGTAAAGAAATAATACAAACTAGGACTCCCTCAGTAAGATAAAGGGTTGGATTTTTGCCAGGCTATTCCAAGCAAGTCTCTAGAAGATGGTCCACTTCAGCTGAGATGGCCACTCACCTCTGAGCTCAATCCACACATTTTTGTTGGTGCTTTTAGTGACAAGAGCAAAATAGGGTTTAGAAAACTTTTCTTGAAGACAGTATTATCTTTGGCTGTGATTTAATGAAATGGACATAAGGCAACATCACTGCTGACAACTTCTGGCAAAACTCTCTCTCCCCAGAGCTTTGGAATTTTAATTATATTCAAAAAAGCACAGTAGGTATTTTTAAAAAGGAGCTACAAGCCTGGTCTAAAGCATTCCAAAAATGCAAATACTTTTGTGGTTTTAAAATGGTCTAAAGATTGATTTGCAGAGAGGCAGTGCTATAGACAACTGGAGTTATTAACTGTATATCCTCAATTAATTACACCATTAAACAGAACAAATGGTAATTTCTCCCCAACTTACTCTTGCCTTGCATCCCGCATTAGAGATAAGACTCTAGGAATTCACTTCACAATGAGAAAGTTAGGTCCAGTTATCAATATAAAAACAAAAGTATGTATTACTAAAGCAACAAATGCCAACCTTAGGGCTTGCCAGCACAGACTGTACCCTGGGAGCACAAGTCCACTCAGCTGTAGGGGCAGGAGCTGAAGTGACCCCACCAGAACTCCAGTAGCAGCTTAGAATAAGGTTGTTAGCATACCTAGTTTAAATGCAAACATTTTGTATCCTCTGCTTTGATGCTTTGTAAAAAAGTCATTAGTTGTAGAGAGTACCAGAATAATGCTTGTAGCTGGAGTCTGAGCTGGAGCATGGTGGGTTTCTCTGACAGAGGAGGACACTGTTACACCATGCTGTTACACACAAGGACCAGTATTTCCTTTCAAGAGTAGCTTGCTTTTGTGCTTCATGGCATCCAGAACCATTTTTATCTTGATATAAAAATGGTGAACTATTACACAGCACAATTAAGAGTGGTCTTAGATGTATCTTAAATTTATCAGTACTTTTTATAGTGAAAGTCAATGTTTTCTAGAAACCAGTGTATGCTCAACAGGCTCACAGCAGATTCCACCCAGGTCATATTCTTATGCATCACCCACCACATGCCATCCAGGCCAATAAAAATACAGCCCCATGTACACTCCTGGTGTTCAAACAAAACCTAGACAGCTGCTGTAAGTCACAAGAGCAGCAGCAGCACTACTGGAAATAAAGCCACACACAGAAAATGCTGGAATCTCATCAACCACTGAGAAACATTTAACTTCCAAGTCTCCCCTAGAACACAGAGCTAAGTGATGCTTTTGTACTGCACATGTGAATTTAGTTTTTTATTCACCACTACCTTTGTGAGCTTGAGACACACTTCATTTTTCTTTTGAGATGGTCTGAAAGGTGCCCAGGGAGCCAATGAGAGCAGAAAGCACCAGTGTTGACTAGAGCCATTTCATAAGCTGAGAAAGTTCAGCCTCACACTACCCACAGGAGTTACACCCACAGACAAAGCTTTAGGGACAGGCACAGTTCATGACTAGCACCTGAGCTTTCCTCTTCACCTCAAACAGCCAGAGGCTCTGGAAGGAGCCAGCCACAGGGCCTGCTGCCTGCCACAGACAACCACAGCAGCTCCACCTGGCAGGGTGAGCTCCCTGGAACAGCTCAGGGGGGCAGTCCTCACTCCTGCCCAAGTGGCACTACCTCCAGGCTAACATTTGAAAGAACACTGGGTTTTTAGAGAAGTGCATTCCAAATGCCCACCAGAACACTGCACCTGTTAGAAATGAAAAAAAATTAGCCATTAAAAGCTCCTGTGAAATAAAGCTTTCCCTCACCATGAACTACCAAGTGCTGCTGATAAAGCAAGTAAGTGGAAAATAGTTGGCAAGTTTAGGGACACCCACATAAAGCAGGAAAAGCTAAAACACCTAACTTCACTGAAGTCCAAAGAGTCTTGCCAGAAATTGGAAAGCTCTACTATTCAAGCAAATATAACTTAGTTTTCTAAAGAGGTTTTAAGTAGCATAATCTGTTTTCCTAAGTATTAGTGATGTTAAACTCAGCAGAACATCTTGTACAAATGTGACAGTACACCACAGTTCTTAAGCTCTTCATTAGCCCACACAAGTCAGGAAGGAAAGCCTCTTAAATGTAGCTGGACTGAACAGCTGCCATCAAATCACATTCCTAAAGAAAAACCCTGCCCTGCAGAAACAAGCCTCTCAAGTGAACACTAACTGTATCTTGGTCAGGTTTGCTGACGGACTGTATTGTGCAGAAACTTGAAGAACTACAAAGCAGCCTGATTAGTTGTATTTATTTTTTTTTTTATTAGGTTTATTATGACTTAGAGTTTCTATTACTCCAGCTGGGTAAACCACATTTGAAAGTAAGTTTAACTGCAGGACTTCAGTTTCAGCCAAAATCATTTTTGCATTACTTTATTGTAATATAGATTCAAATTTAACATTTAAAACTTACTTCATTAATAAGCAAGCCAAGCTCAGTAGCTTCAGTGCAGGATGTACTTTATGTCACTTGCCGCACATTCATGTTAGATTTGATGTACATGGAGAAGAGACTGGTCAACTATGATTCATAGGAGAAAGCAAAAGTAAGCACCATTTTTACCAAACTAAACAGCTCTCAATTCGGTGTTTCTGACAGAAAATCAACTCACTTCTTGCTCCAGGAGCTACAGTTTGGATAATAGCTGAAAGCTATTTCTAGAGAGTCAATTTTCTACACTGGCACAAGAAATAGTCTTCAAAGCAACAGATACTGGAATTTTTTTTTTTTTTGAGACAATTTTTCCCTGTGTTTACCAGGTGAATACATGCAGTCTTGATCATTCTGGCAGAGGGTAAGACAGCAAACAACAGTTGGGACCAAATGAAAAACAAAAATCCAAAAAACTGCCAAATACTTCAGGTACAAGCAAAAAAAATGCAACCGGTTTAGTATCTAAGCCCACTTTCTTTCAAAGAAAAAATGGCACAAATTAAATTAAAAGCCAGATAAATTTAGTTTTAGGTGGTACTAGACTGAATTAATGCTTCCAAACTTTCAGAGGACAGATTATTTATTTCACTGCAAGGAAGTGGAGAAGTAATTTGAACAGGCTCTGTATGTTTGGGCTAGACCAGAAGCACTGTTACAGTTCAGTCCACTATGCAGAACTGATGCCAACATGATGTTACCCTTCCCACACATCCTTGTGAAGTGTGGTAGAAGTTGCAGAGCATAAGCATCTTAGTTGTACAAGCCCATTAATGAACAAACAAAAGCTGAAGAATGGTTCTCAAACATGTCCTTTCAGACTCCAGACTTTTCCTTCGGAAGAGGAAAATCCCTCCACCAACAGGCTAATAAATACTAACAGATCCATTTAGATACCATCTTCAAAGCCTTTTTTGAAAAAGCAGTCTCCAAATGAAAAGTAGCTTTATGCAGTATTAACATTTTACTTAACATAAGTCTTATGAATCATAATTAATAGCAGTAACTGAAATTCATGTATACTGAGTCTTCAGGTGATGTGCAAGTTCAGCTATGTAACACAGGCAGGGGTTTTGAGTAGTTCTTACCAGCTTGCTTTGGACAGTTTTCTTACACTTGTCCCATGAACTACAGAACCTCCAGCTACAGTATTGTGCAGCTGCTGACATCCTCAAGAGCTCTTCAATGGAAAAAAAATTGATGGAAGCACCACAAAGCAAGAAAATCATGCTCTTAATGAAGAGCCTTGAATTCTGAGAATTTATCACATTGTTGCCGTCTTGCCTTAACTCCAGAACACCAGTGAGAGGACACCAGGGTAAAAAGAAAAAGCAAATCTACAGTGAAGTCTGCTTCAAACAAGGAAGATATTACAAAAAAAAGAACCGACTCTACAAGCACATAAGCAAAAGTTTTGAAGAGCTGTGTATTAACATGGAGCTCAAAGTGCCTTAACTTAGCTAGAACACAATTTTTTAGTATTGTGAATCTAGCATAGCTGCATTTCGTCCAAGAATCAGCCAATGCTTCCAGTTAAAGCATGCATACAACCTCACTCTTCTCAACTTGCAGGTTTGGAGCTCTTAGTTCTCCCACTCCTCTTACATTACCCTTTCCTAGGCAGAGATTCACAGGCCCTAAAAGCCAGCGATCTCCACCAAAGACTTGCTGCAACTACATGTAAAAATAGTTATGACACTCTTTTAGACTGACACACCTCCTTCTCCATTCAGAACGGATTTGCAGCAGATCAGTCTCGATTTCTAGTTCAGTTTAAATTATGCTTAAGTTATGGCAACCAGAGTTCAATCCTATGAAGGTAAGCTCAACGCAAAGAGAAAGCCATTTATCCGTTTCAGTTCATCCTTACGGCATGTTTATCCACAGCTTTATAGTCAACTTCCAGTTTTAAATTATTTTCTTAGCACTTCACAGAACCTGCATGTCACTCCCTCCTGAAGGAGATGGCATCACACAGAATCTTAAATTAATCCAAGTTTCCACATGTGGCCAGAAGTCTTACTTGTTAGAACACACCCCTCTTCCAACTATCCCCCCTCGCTCCCTCTCTTCCCACCCCTCCCCAGCAACGGGCAATTACTTCACAAGAAATGTAAAAGGGGGTATGGGTGTACACAAAACCTACCCTTCACTAATACTGAACAGAAAAGCCTATTTTCCAATTACAGGACATCATTCTCTAAATTTAGGTCAGCACTGGTGCAGTCTGCACTGTGTATGATTACCACAAGGATAATACCAATAAGTACATTTATTTTCTCAAACTGATTTAAAAGCCTATGAAGTTAATTGGGGAAAAGTTTAATATTGCTACTTCAGAGCACTAAAACACACAAAATGAATCCAATAAAGATCCTTGTATTGATTCAATATTAAGTATTAATTGCATGACCATCATAGCACCTCTTTACATTATCACACAATCACCAGAATTATCAACTGCTTTTAAAACTAAAAAGGGTACAGTCCAATATTTATAACTTGCACACTGTTACTATATAGAAACTAGGTGCATGGTACAGTGCTGCAAAAATGGAAGCCTGCAGTTTGGACAAAGATGCCAAGTCATGTTTAGACAATTTCAGTCAAACTGGCAATACTGTTTAAGCAGATACTCAACACAGCAGGAAATAAAAGGACAAAAAAGCATTCTATAACCAAATAAACATCTGAAATCTCCTTTCCCTTTAATACAAGTAAGGTCACTTTTAGCCTTGGAACGGATACATGTTTGCCTATGATGATCTTGCTAACTACTACACAATATCTGATGTCCTCTGCTAAGAATATAGTTTAAGAAAGCCGCAGTTACAAGAGGCATCTAATGTCATATCTAAAATTTCCTTTATGGCAATTATTGAATTTGTCTTAAACAGTGAATATGGAAAGATGGCCTCATGTTTCCTTTTCAATAGTACTCTGAGGATCAAGTGGCTTTCAAGCAGCATGGTGGGTTTGAAATTTTTGCAGTTTAGATCATTCTGTTGCGTTTATGGGTTGGTGAGTCTGTAATGACGTCGCCACACTGGGCTGAGGTACGCTTTCTAGTTCCACCATTGTCCAAGTGGAGTGCCATTTCTTCTGATATGAAAGTGTTCAAATCAACATCATGGAGTCCATTTCTCCTTCGACTAGCATTGGAGCCACTGCTCACGTGCGTGGGCGAGCCCGGGGTACTGGAGCGAACACTTATACTCGCCATTGCACCACTGAGACCTGCGGGGAGAAGAGAAACAGCGTTTAGCTCCAACAACAGCCACCTCAGAAAGGAAGACACAGCTCACTCCCAGCAGCACGTTAAAGGCACTTTACTATTTACACCACACACACTTGAAGCCCACACCACACCTTCCCAGCTTTTAGTCCGTGTGAGACTTGAGCTACTGCTAGAAGTGCTTCTGGAGGTGGAATGAGCGTGTCCACCAGGCTGCAGCAGCACACCATGGCCAAGGCTGGCTCTGCAAGGGCAACACTACCCACAGCACAGGTACACGGTCAAGAGCAGACTGTTTCAACACTTCACACTACACCAGCAGTCCCCTACCAAGGACTTTGTGGGTTGATCTGACGTGATCTTGTTTCAAACACCACCACCCTGCTCCCTTGCACTCCTTGAGTCACTGAGCTCTAGGGAAAACCGCAGTGTGACAGCAGATCTCAGGCAGGTGTATTCCACAGCTAGTTTCTAAACAAAAACTTTTTTTTCCCCATGGCTTATAGCCAACACGTATTACATCAGAATTCAGAAAAGCACTTAATAAGCCAAGCAAGACCACAAGCCCCCAAAATGTGCTACTAACAGAACACTGTCACAGGCACCCTGCAATTACTTTTGTCTGTGTTCAGGTTTTTAACGTTTAATTAAAACAGAAGATTATTTCTTGCAGAAACAATGCCATAAACCAGAAAACCACAAACTGCACACCAGTTTAGACTTTGTCTTCAACAATTACAACTTTGCAAAAGCAGCACATTCCAAAATATAAGTTTAGTAAGGGCTAGTACATGAAAGCCCAGCAATTCTTCTCCATTTGGAATTCAGGCTCTATTTGTAGATAAACAGGCACTCAGAGATAAGACAAGCATCTTTGCTATCCTAACTGTTTGAAATCTGAGCATTATAAGGAAAGTACAGGAACATCTCCTGGCCCTAGAAATAAAATCAAAGCAAGAGACATGCAGGAAGATGAGGAACAGCAGAACAAGATCTACCTCTGTGTATTCTTCCAGCAATAAGGCAGGCAAATGCTAAGGTGTCCAGGAATATTTGTCTCAGTAACCTTCAAAATCTGGAGCTCTATCAGAGGTTTTCTCCAGTCTCAAATACTCTAGACCTTTGTCCAGCCATCACACATCCTGTGTGTGTAAAGCCATTTAACACACATCCTCATGTATGGTCAAGTCAGCAGCCAGAAGTCACACACTGAGAGGTAAAGCCTAGAAAAACCATCTATTGGCTGCTGACAGGCCAAACAAGCAGCTTCAGAGCAGCTCTCTTCACCAGAAGACTGCTAGAGCTACTAGATCAGTTGCCAGAAGCCTCTATTAGAAGTTAAAATCTAAAGCCACACAATTTCATGCTATTGTACATTACTGTTGAATGAATATTTAAAGCCAAGATCTTGTAACAGCACAGGATATACTTTTTCACAGATTGGGCATTATGCAACAAACAGTAGAAAAACAACCACTAATTGTAGATTCTTTCTTGGAGCTTTTGCTTACAGCTGGGAGTGGTGTTCTAGTATGACTCAGAAACAGTCTGAAGCCTGACAGGGACCCTACAGGTTTCATTAATATTAAAATCATGTTTCATTCACAATGGCAGAAAGTAGTTCAACAGCAGAAGCTGTGCCAGTAAAAAGATAATTCAGAAACAAGCTTTATTCCCAGAGCTAAGGACAAGCTTAAATTCAAAACCATTATGAAACGAGTTTCCAATTCATCTACCCAAGAAAGTAAAGCAGGTAATTGACTTGGATGTACAAGCAAAAAGCCAATCCAGATACCACAACTTGGATAAACCACCAACATGCAAAATCTGGGCAGGTAACAATCACTTCACAACTCAACCATAACAGCAAATTTAATTTCAACTGGCATGACATACACTAGAAAAAGCATTAAAGCATTAATTCATCCCATACATTGAAACTGGAAAATGTGTCACTGCACAGAAGGTGACATTTCAAATCAAAATTGATCACAGATTTCCCCCATGTCACTGCTCCAACCAAAAGTGCTCTGAACACACAAGTTCAGTGTTGTTACTTCCACTGAGTAAATCATTTACACCACTTGTCATTTACTCTTGTATTATATATAGCCCACAACCAAATTACCAACATACTAATTCAGCTTTACCTTTACATCTTTTCATTACATCTAATGTTTAAATAAGGAGAGAAAAACAATCTAGATAAACCCTAAAACTGACCCATGATGTGAGAATACTTTTTTTTTTGCATGACTCAAGAGTATTACAGTAGAGCCTTCTCAGGTAACAAGCACATTTTAAAAAAAAGATACAAAAGTCAGAATTAAAAGGTGCACCTGTAATGTGCTGCAGCAGCACATTCTAAACCAGACTGACAAGGTTTGCAAGCAATGCCTCAATGCCTAAATACCAATATTTAGGCAATACTGAATCATTATACATTTAAATCCAAAAATAACCTTCAGGAGTTAAGTTAGTCTCCAACCAAGCCCAGTGTCAAAAGCAGAGGAGTAGATTTGAATTAAATTCTACAAAGACAGGAGCACAAGGATACTGCATCACAACATGGACTTTGGTTGTAGTTTAATCTTGCAGCTCATCCAGGTTTTTAATACTGAACTAGTAACAGTCAGTACTGAGCATGCCAACAGACTGAGTGACAATCTGGTATCACTTACTGGCAGTTAACCACATTACACAGGACTACACATCAGTCCCAGGGAGCAGAACTGTCAAACAAAACATTCAGTTCACAGGTTAGGATTGGGTAATCAAGCTAACACGGAAGACAATTCAGGGCATGCACTGCAGTACCAAGTTGCCATTTTATGGAATCAACATCTTTGAAGACCATCAGCAATGCAACTGAAAAGATCTTTTTTGTTGACAGAAAGCATGTTTCAGATGTGATCCACAGTTCGTTTCTTCTTGGAAGTTGTAATGCAAAAAGGAAATCTCAGAAAGCCATTTCTTGTGAATTATTCTAAGTTTTCCGTGGACTCTGAGACCTCTTCCCAAAGCACTGACCATTTCCAGCAGGACAGCAAGCAGTGACAGACACCAGGCATTGGTTAGATGACATGACTGCCAGCAGCACCATTTCACCACCTCAAATCCCTCCACTGTGATTAACATGCCCTAATCACAGGCACATCAGGTCTGTCTATACAACAGGACAGGCTCCAACAGCTACTAGTGTGTCTTCAGTTCTTTCACCATCTCAAGACCACCTCTGGAGACTCCCACTGCTTTGTACAGGAAACATTTCCTTTTTTACCAGAGGCCTTCAAGAAAGGACAGATGGCTCTCCCTTTTTAAACTTGAGATGACTGGAGAGCCTCTCTGAAATATTCTGCAGTACATACTACATTCCCATTCCTGACATATCTTTTGGTCATGAAGAATACAGCATTTCACAGCAAATAATTTCACAGCACTTTTATCCAAAGCCATGCTCTAAAGCATTTATTATAGTACTATGAGAAAAAGCTGCAGTAAAAACATTGTGACCAATATTAGCTAATAACTAAAGTCCTGTTCAAAACTATCAAGTGATTAGAATGCTTGGCTAAAAGTTTGATAGAGTATTAAATACTTGAGCTAAATAAAACTGTCCACTCAAAATTAGTACATTTATCAACACTGGCCCACCAAACTGTAAATGCTGTTTCATCTGCACTGTGACCAGGTCTGTAATGAGTTATTAAAGTCACTATCACAGCATAATATACTGGGTAACTCCTGTTCAGTATAGTAACAGTATTAACTGTTGTTTTCCACAAGTTTTAAATCAGGAAGTATCAAAAGAAACATTCATGCTTAGATAAGTGTGACTAAAACAGGAATTAGTTAATACCCCCAGATAAATACAAACTGGCATGCAGATAAGATGCTTGTCACTCCTATGTCATACTCACCCTTTCACAGTACTGCTCAAAGAGCAAGTTTTAGCAGTACATACCAATACCCAACCATGATAGCTAAATATATACACACAACCTTTAAATTAAACTCTTTCAAACTGGTCTGAACTCTGTTCTCCCCATCCTCTTCTACCACTGCTGCTTCTCCACTCTAACAACTGCTGATGTTTGCTATTGTATTTTAAGAGAATAAGGAGGCCTAGTAGAAATTCTGGCTCTTGAAATGGCCCAAGCCACACATGCTAGAGGAAGGGTTCTCCCAGCAGTGCCCTCCCAGCAGATAACCACATTAATCATATACATCAGCATGAAAGCTAAGGAGCAAAGCAACTAACCCCCACTGTGCTGTTGCCCATACATGTGATTTTTAGTTCAGACTGCTCAAGTCTAACACATTTCAGCACCACTTCCCAAGCTCACTCCCCAGATCACAGCATTTCCTCCTGTAGTGCTGGGAGAGCCGTTTATGTAGCAGGGAGCACGTTCCACACTGAAAGAGCAGAGCATTATTTCAGCAGGGACATGCACAGCCCCAGCACTGCAGGGCAGGCCAGCCACAGCCAGGCAGAAAGGGACTGGACACGTCAGCTTTTGGGAATGACTGTTAGCTCAGTTTAATTCTGTCATTTGAAGCTCCTCTCTCACAATTGAATATGGCAACAGGCACAGAAAGCAGGTGAAAATACATTCATACCTATGCTAAAGGCAGGGACATTTTAGAGACTGATGGAAGTTTAAAATCCTGACTGTCTGAGACATTGGAGAAAGGTATTTATCTTCTATAATCACATCTTTAAACACTAAGCATCATCAGATGCAGTTCTTGAAGTTTCAGAGAAGTCCACTTGAACTTCAGAGTAAACCAGCATATGTTACCTTGAGCTCACTGCTCAGCCTTTCCCAAAGGCTTTCATTTCAGCTACTCACAGTTCATGTTTCTAGCCATGTTTTATTTCAAAGGTTATCTATGAGCACACTAATAATGGAAAGCTGATATTAAGGGCACAGATTTATTTACCAGTTTACTCTCTCACGAGGTTACTCAGTTCCAAAAACTCGTTCTGAAGTACCCTTAGGTTGTTACATTAACTATTTCAGTAACAGATGCACAGCATCATGCCACAGTGTCAACAGGTAAATCACATACACCTTAAACAGCCTGGGGTCAGCACAAGTTTGTCATGATCATTTGGCTTTTAGATACCATAGCAACTGTTGAAAGCAGGACAGCAGAGAAGAACAAGTCTCCCTACAGCACAAAGGCTACTGACAACTAATATCACCAGATTAAGTTTTGGCTTCAAAATCCCTAGGTTTTGTCACAAAAACAGTCAACTATTTTATGAGTTTTAAAATGGTACCAATACCTAAAGATAACCACCTCTGATGTTTTATAGTCTAGGGCATACACCTAGACTTGTCTGACATTCCAGGAAAAATTAGTAGCTACTTTATTGCCACAGCTTCTGTCCAAGTTTTCAGATGTGATTGAGTCCTTCCATGATCCAAACACAGGCATTTCCCCCATTACAGAGCAAGTTCAGCAAGTTATAGCACCATGTTCTTTAGACATATACTAGTGCCTATTTCTGAGCTTCCACAGAGCTTTTTTCATCCCACAGATTGATATGTACCCCTGCTTCACTAAAAGAGGTCTTGCTTAGAGCAGACATTTTTTTATCATCATCCCTCAAATCTAATTCAGCCCATCCATATTACCAACAGAGAAGCAGCCCATTTCCACAGGAAGCCTACCAGCACCAGACAATGCCTCACTCCTTCACATGCCAGTCAAACATTTCCCCTTAAAATCTCAGTCCCAAGCACATGCCAAGGCTGCTACTGACTATCAAGTTTTCTCACAAGATCTAGAAGCAGCAAAACACTTTTAAACAGCCTGCCAAAAATGAAGTACAGCCCTACGGAGGACATGAATTTACATTTACACACATCTGAAGACCCAACATAGGTTTCAAAATGGCTGGACTTGATCTTAAAGGTCTTTTCCAACCAAAACAATTCTATGCTACAATTCTAAAAATCAAAACATAGTTCTGAGAAGTCCTATGATAAACAGGAAAAGTCTGGGAGACATTTTAATCACTGCTTCCCTCACATTAAAGAGAAGGGGAGGAGAAGCTGCAGGAA